CATCCACCCAATCACTCATCCATTTACCTACCCACCCACCCATCCAGCCAGCCAGCCAGCAATGATTTATTGAGAAACAGAAAGAGGGCAGAACCCTGTTCTAGGTGTCTGGGTCATAGCAATGGCCACATGTGGTCCCTGTCCTCACCACACTTAAATTCCAGTGGGAATCATGACAGTGCAGTGTGTCAGAGAAGATGATGAACTGAAGAGAAAAAGGCAGGGGCAGGGCCGTGGAGGAGAAAAGGCACACACCCCGGGAGCAGAGGAGGGGCTGCCGGGGACGACGGCTCCCGGCAGGTGCAAGGGGGCTGTGTGACAGGGTGTCCGTGGGGACTGTGGCTTCACACTAACACGGGCTTTGAGGGGATCTCCTTAGATTGGGCAGTCACTTGATGTTGGGATATCTGGCTGTTAACTGGGAGCTCTGTTAAAGCACTCAGCTGCTAACCGAAAGGTTGGTGGTTCGAACTCACCTGCCACTCTGCCAGAGAAAGCCAAGGTTGCCTGCCTCTATGCACATTTGTGGCCTTAGAAACCCAACTCTGTCCTATGGGGTCACTAGGAGTCAGAGTGGACTTGGTGGCAGTGGGCTGGGTTTTCTGGGCTGACTGCTAAACCAAAGGTGTGGAAACAAGTCATCAGGTTAGACTCGTGAGGTTGGCAGCACCCCCCCCCGAGGGCCTGAAGAAGAACCGGCAACTCGGCTCCCAGGTCAGACGCCCCCGTGGGCTCTTCTGGGTCCCCTGCATCAGTAGGACCCCGGAAGGCGGCATGCTCGCAGGCCAGGCCGGCGCTGCCCCTGTGCCCAGGGTTGCTCCTTCCAACTCTGAGCATCGCTGGGACTCTGAACCCAGAGTGCTTCCCTCCTTCGGCTGCAGGCAGGTCCCCAGGCCCCTCTGAGGAGGTTATTGGGAATAAAGTGGCGGGGGCTCCTCGCACAGAAGGTCCCCTCTTGCTCCCCTGCAGGCTGGGAGCACCACCTCTCCACACACCCCTGCACGTGTCTGCCCATCTCTCCAGGGACAGGTGCGCTCAGGCTGCCACGGAGGCTCCAAGCCCAGGCGTGTCCTGGGGGGCGGGGGACACACAGGGCCTGGGCCGCAGGGTGAGGGGCCGAGCCTGGGCCGGCTTGTGAACAGGGACCCTTCGGATCCGTTGCATCCGTTTCCTGGAGAGACCATCATTCACAGGAGGGGCTTGGCTTGGGGACGTGCAAAG